TAGGATACATACACGGAAACTGGGTACATTCGATCTGCTGCTATGAACAGAGCCAAGGGCATACCAGGCCCTACTGGGTCTCTGGCCAGGCCATACTGGGTCTGTGGCCCTAAGAGTTCCTCCATCTATTCAGAAGCAAACCCAGTCATGTGCCTTTATTATAAATAGATGCTGATTAGATGCAGCCCCAGGGCTGCACCCCAGTCCTGAGTCCCAGCTCCTGAAAGCAGATTGTGGGCTCGTCACTACCCCCCATTACATCCCTTTTGTTCCCCTGTACTGACTGCCTATCCTCTTGTCTCCTTTGCAGTCAAAAGCGCATTAACAAGGAAGTGCCTGGGTCGTGCAGAAGGAGCCATCAGCCCCAGGGACTGGGAGCCCCTGGATCGGAGTCAGAGCCCGCTGCTTTTTATAACTTTATATTATTTTTTTTAAAAAAGAAAGAAAAGACTCTATAAAATACCTCAAGACTCTTTTCCTGTTCTGTTGCTGCTAAAAACAAACAAAAAAACCCAAGGAAAAAATGAGAGACAAACCCAATCCACACCTGGGAGGAGGTTGGAAGCAGATGGACTGGACTGAGGCGGCAGCCGCACGGCCGGGCTGGGATATTTATAAAAATTACTATTGCTGTTTTTTTTTCTTTTTTTAAAAAAGAAAAACCCCGTATCAAAAGGGTGGCTTGGCCTGTGCTTTTGTGAAGGGGGCGAGGGGAAGGGAATTGGCCCCTGGTGGCAGGGCTTTGAACATCCGCTCCCGTCAGCTCTGTGTTGGGGTAGCACCATTTGCTGGCAGTGCCCGGAGGTGGATGTAGCTGAGCGGCTCCGAACGTCACCAGCTCTTGAAAGTAGAAATTTGTCAGACAGGCTTTAGAAAGTTGCAGACTTCTTGAAGTGATCAAAATGTCACCAGGTAACGTATCAAGTATTGCACCTAGGACATGGAGTAGAGAGGTAGTTAGCCACATTAGCCTGAAGTCAGACAGGAGGGCAACAAACACTCAGAAATTGTTAGGTCTGGCGACACGATCTGCTGCAGCACCCTCACACAGACAGTGTTCCCTTATCCCCTGACTGTTTCTTCTGGTCCAAGCACTGGCAGGGACCTGGGGCTGGGTTTGTATACGGGGCAGCACTAGGGGCTAAATTATGGAGCTCTGCAGTCTGGATCTGGCCCGTAGGTCATAGATTTGATACACCTGCGCTGTCTGGGCAACTTCATGACAACTTCATCCCTGAGTGTCTGCTGTCCATGCTGCTTATCCACCGCAGTCTCATCTCAGGCTCAGGAGTTCCTGATCCAATCCCAGGCAGTAACCGGGGTGTTATGAAATGGTTTTGTGGTGCAGAGAAATATTCCTCACCTCCATGGGACAGTTTCACACCGGCAGCCCCAAATCTCTTAGGCATTAAAATCTGCAGAGTAACGGCACCACTACAGCAAAGGTGGGAACAGACACTGATTCTCTCATTTTCCACTAAACCCAACTACCTGCCAAGGTAAGTCGATGGGACTGTGAGTTAGGCAGAATACAGCCCATGGTCAAACCTTCCCGTTTGGCTTATGCACCTGGTAGAGCTGCTATCCCTGCTCCCTCCTGCCTCAGCAAGACTTGCCGCCTCAATCTGAACCACACAGACCTCAGGCAACCCACTTAAGGAACCCATTTAGCTCCGATAAGGTACAGCAAGTTATGCATCTAGGTAGTAAGATAGCAGTGAAGACAGGAAGGTTGGCTTGTTCCATGTAGGTTGCAAGGAAGACATGAAGAGCAGGGCCTGCAAAGTTGGTTATTGTGGTGACATTTGAACTTTCCAATAAACCCACTAAGCCAGCATGCAAGGGGGTGGCAAAGGTTATCCAAGATAATGGCCGCACAACCTTTTGCACAAAGTCCATGGCCAGAGCATCTTTCCTTCTCTCTAACAGCTGTAGCACCTGTGCAGAGTACTTTCAGATGCTAATGTTGACCTTGAGGCTTTAGTCTGTGGTCCATGGACAGAGAGGCTCTCAGCTTGAGGCATTTTCTGTACAGCAGGGAAAGCTTCAAGCATCTTTGACCACATTGTTTTGCAGCATCTGATGAAGCCAGCTTCAGATCATGAAAGCTTGTGCTCTAGCTCTATTTTGGTTAGTCTATAAGGTGCAGATCTACCCTGCTTTCTACAGAATTTCCCCCCTGATGCTGTGTGTCAGGCTGTGTTTCATCCCAGAGCTGCATGTGTCCTCATGCTGCATGCATCACTGGTAAGGCACTTGCGGTGAGAGCCATGGGCAGATGCAGGAATTTGAAAAGGAGGATGCAGATGGTATGGTGTATCATCCCATATAACACAGTACCTATTTTTCTTCATGTAAAAAGAAACTAGAAGCTTTACTAATATGCCTAGGAGCTAAGGTTGCATTATTCAGTTTAACATCAAAGGAGGCATGCCTCGGCCTGATCCACAGTTCAACGGAGTCTTAATTCCAGGAGGCCTGAAATTGCAAGAGGGAATCTTGTCTTTTTTGAAAGACATAAGAACTACTATTTGCAGGGCCGACCCTAGGTCCATCTTGCCCAGTCTCCTGTGCCATACAGAGGCAGAGAGCAAATACTGAAAGGGAAAGTGAAGAGGGTATGGCCAAGGTTTTTCCCCCTGTTCCTCTCTCACTTGCAGCCTCCAGCATTTAACATCTAGGAAGTTCCGGTTCAGAGGCCGTGCCCCCCGCTCTCACGCTCAAAAGCTACTGACGCCTCTTGCCTCCAAGCATGTGTCCAGTCCCTTTGTGAATCTGGCTAAACTGCCAGCTTCCACCACGTCTGGTGGCCATGAGTTCTGTCCTTTGATGACACTGGGTGAAGAACAGCTGCCTTGTATTCACTTTAAACACACTACCTGCTATTTTCATGTTGGGACCCCTAGTTCTTGCCTGGTGAGAGAGAGAGAGTCAATAATAAATCCCTATTGACTTTCTTTGCCATTTAGTGTTTTGCAAGCCCTTCTCCTGTCCCCCCTCAAGCATCTCCTTTCTAAACAGAACAGGCCTGGCCTCTAGTCTCTTCTCATACTGCTAATGATCCTTGTAGCCCTTCTTGGTCCCCTCCTCTAGTTCTTCTAGCTCCTTTCTGGGGTGCAGGGACCAGAGCTGGGCATCATCTCCAAGGTGCAAACGTGCTACTGATTTACAAAGGAGTATCACAATACTTCTCTTGAAGGCAGAGGACTCTGAGGGCAGGCCAAGCGCTCTGGAGCAGGGCCAGCACTGAGGTGGGGAGGGGAAGTGCCTTGCCTCCCTCTCCTCCTAGATGCCCAAACCTCTTGGAGGCATTTCAGACCTGGTTCTCTTGAATCAGGGTGCTGGGACTGAGTCCAAGCTGGGGGAGGGGGCAGTGCCCTGTGCTGTGAGCCGAGGATCTGAGGAGCAATGATCTCAGGTTGCAGCAAGGGAAATTCATGTTGGATATTAGGAAAAACTTTCTCATGATGAGGGCAGTAAAGTACTGGAACAGGCCCTGTTCATAGAGGCTTTTAAGACCCGGGTAGACAAAAAGGCTAAGATGAGATAGTTCAGGGCAGTCTTGCTTGGCTCAGATCAAGCGTCTCAGTGAAGGCATCTGAATCCCAAGACTTTTTTTTTTTAAACTATATATCGCTTGATACCTATACAGCATCCCAGATAAGCATTGCTACACAAACCTTAAAACGAATTTAAAACCCGTGCACACATTACAATGGTCGCCTGCATGCCCCCGCGCTCCCAGCAGTCCTTTCCATAACCCAGTCTCTTAGTTTTCACCCCGCTGTTCGGTTTTACACTGTCCGCTTATTCCCTGTCTTGGTTGCTGTCACTGTCACTCTCACTGTTACTTCCGCTACTGACACTGCTGTTGTCACTGTTGCTGCTTCGGGGTCCGCTTGTGTTGCCGTCGTCTTCGCCGTCACTGACCACTCCGCCTCTCGGAGGGTCGTTGAACAGCCTGCGCCAAAAGTCCCTTTGCCAAGCGGAGCTGGCCGCTTCTTCTCCATCCTCTTCCCGCCGCTTTTCAGTGGTAGGACTGGAGTTCGCTCCAGAAACATTTGGATGCCGTCTGTTTCCTCAAGCGCCGTGTGTCTGTACGCCCGCAGGTTCCTGCATTGCCACGGGGCACTCCTGACGCAGGGCACAAACCGGTGGGACCCCCACTCTTTAGTACAGCGCCGCCTGATCCCTGCCGCCTCTTCCAGGAGCCGGCCAACCTTTCCCCTTGTCATAAGGACAGCGCCGCAGGAGGTGCTCAACTGTCTCTCCATCACAGGGGCAGGCAGTTATTTTGGGCGGAGGGCCGCTTACTGAGTTTGGGCAAGCATCGAGGGCCACACGCCAGGAAGCTACAGGCAGATCTATACGAATTTTCTAATTTTTTAGGGCCCCGCGGGCCACATTTTGCCCACCCCTGCTCCATCATCATCCCAAGCCCTGCTAATGAAGTTGTATCTGAAAAAAGGCGTTGAGCAAGAACTTTTTTTTTAAACATTTTTTAAGAAACCAGACAACATCAGCCAGATTAAAAAGGACCCCAACTGAGGCCTCACAAAGAGAATACAAAGCCGGGGCCCTGACCCTCGGCGCCGTTTCTTTTCTTTTCTAGGCCTCCTTTCTTGGCACCCTGCGCTCGTGTCGCAATGGGGCGGAAGGGACCTATTCGGTCACCGAGCCCGACCCCTGCCCCGGGGGGGAAGGCCCGGGGGGGCGCTGGGGATGGGGCTGCCGGCGGGCATCCGTGGGGGCTGAGAGGATTGGGCGCTGCCTGCGGGGAGCTTTTGGAGCGATGATGTGACCTGGGACATGACGCGTCATAGGCAGGAAGGTGCCGGCCAAGCCCCGGTTCCTGCAGCAGGAGGGC